ACTTTTTACGTAAGTATGTAATGTTTACATGATGCGAATACGTACGTACGTACGTACGTACATAATTTTGACTTCTAGTTCCGAATGTTCTTAACATCCCGACCTATCTTTCCGGACAATCATCCGATCCCAACCTGGTACACATTTTCTGGGTGCAATTTAATAATATTTTATTTTGTGCAATTTTACTTTATTATATTTTAAATAAACAAATTTATTTTCTAGAACAATGTTTTCACAAATCAAGTTTTTTTCAAAATCAAAATTTATCTAAAGAAGGGCACTTCATAATTATCCTTAATTAGCAATTCACGTAAGAACAGGACAGTTTATATAATAAAAGTAGGGCAAATTTACTATAAAATTCCGAAATACTGGAATCTAGTTTGCCTACAATATAAAGTATTAATAGTTGGAATATAATATAAAATTAAATTATATAGGCATAAAAATATGGTATTTGGCTTTCTTTTTATTAAAAGTCCGGTAGAATTTTCTAAAAATAAAAGATACTTTACTAAGAGCTGAAATTTTGAATTTTAAAAAATCCCGTCTTTTTACTATATAATTTTGGGAAATTGGATTCCATATTACTATTAAAACTATATAAATATTTATCCCCAACTTTTATAATTAAAATTTCCTGTTCTTATGTGAATTGCTAATTAAATAAGAATTACATGTATTAATTCATCAAAATTATTAAGAACAGCATTTCTAATCACCAACAATTATAAGTCTGCGGAATAATAAAATATATACAAAAAATCTGCGGAACATTGCGGAACCCGCATTAAAAAATTTGCGGAATAGAATTTTAATCTGGGCTACGCAGATCCCGCGTTACCAACCTAAAAAATTTCACTGGCCAATCAGATTTCAAGATCAGATGTGACGCAGAAGAAACGTAAAAAATCAAAAAATCGCTTATAACTCGCCATTTTATCTATGAAACCACCTTCTGCGCACTAACAAAAAGTTTTCCTTTCGAAATTTTGATACTCCTAGAGTCTTTTCTAACCTAACTTAATAGCAAAACCTAACCCTAATCTAACAGTGAAATTTTTTTAGCGAAATTTAGGTTGGTAACGCTAGATCAGTTGATCTCTTGCAGTATAGGTAACACCACAAATAAAATGTATTATGAATCAATTGATTTTAGAATAGGTGTCACTCATACTGCAAGAGATCTCCTTGCAGCACTCAATCAAAGATATTCGCGAAGCTTTATATGCTTCTCACCCAAAATTAAATTGATTATGATCCTTTCAACGATTTTGCTTACGAGCAGCTCTTGATCCCATCGATTATTTCACCTTGCTCCGAAAAATGCTTGTATTTATAAAAAAAAGATTTGATGTGCAGGTAGGATGCTATCCTTTATGAGTTTCTATTTCCACTTGAGTGTTAATATTATTAGTATAAAAAACATACAAGTGCGTTTTTAAAATATATCATTTTGATTGGTTGATAGTAGGGTTGGGTTGGTTTGGGTTGACTCAATCTTCAACCCACTCCACTAAGTTAGACATACTCCAATGGTTTGCTCCGGGTTGCTCCATAGTACTTCGGGTTGCTCCAAATTTAAAGGGCACCCACTCCAACTTGGGTTGGGATAAGCTACTCCATTAATAACCCTAGTTGATAGTCACCTTAACCCGTGTAAAATACGACGGAATCGTGGATCGAAAGATCAACATAAAATTGACGTATCTACTCTCAATATATGATTAAAAGTTTTATATAATTGTTTGGTAATCTGATAATTATAAATGAATTTTTTTTTTACATCCTTCGATTAGTCTTGGTGAGACAAATTGAATGATATAAGATTCATTAGACTCTATTTGATAAATTTCATGTTAACTTCGATATTAACCGATCTGCCACTTTACTAAACCTGCCATATTATCTTCTTTTACCTTATAAAAGTCCGAGATTTTATTAAATAAATCAATATTAGAATATTAAGTAAAGTTATTCAGAAGATCAAAAAAAATATTTTTTAAAAGTTTGATATGAATTAAGTAGCTTTTTACTAATATATTTTTATTTTTATGTCTTGCAAAATAACTGAGAACCGGGCTTTAAATTTTGATCCTGAACCAAACCAGCTTTAACTTAGGTTTGGAACTTATTTGGAATCTAAAGAGTTTAGAATCTAAACCAAACCTAGGCTAACTTTACCATCTTTACAATTAGGTTTAACGACTTTTAGCGGATACTTTTGCCTGAGCACCACGAGCTTGTTGTTTCGAGATTTTAGGCTGTCCGCGAGCAGTTGTTTGTGCAACCTATATAAAAAAAATAGGTTTAAGAAAATGTATATTTGAATCAAAAAAAAAAAAAAAAAAAACTGATTTATTATTTATTTTAAAGATAATAACCTTAGCTTTTTCAGCTTTTCTTTTCGATTGTTCTTGTTTTTTTTTCTCTTTAGCTTCACGAAGGGCTTGCGCACGAGCGGCCTCTCTCATTTCAGGTTTTTGATTACGTTTAGCCTTAATGACTTCCCACGACGCTCCAACAACTGCTCGTTGATGCTTAACTGTTCGACGAGTACGTTTTTTGGCAATTTCCTCGGTTATACCTTTTTTATGCATACGACGGTATACTTGAGTCCAACTGATCTTACGTGGATTCATTCGTTGGAGGAATAGGGATTCGGTTTTTGATCCGACGAATCGGAAAATCTAGTGTGAATTTTGATCGCTACATATGAGTGGATTCAACAAATTTAAATCTTTTTTTTTTTTTTTTTAATAAGACTTTTCCGCTGATTTATGATATAATTCACATGGTCAAGCCTATTACTTTATTCTAAATTGAACATGTCTCTGAAGAAAGTGATATAATTCTAACCCTATTGTCTTGTCGGACATAAAGTTTGCCTTTGCCTGGGTAGATCTTGTTACCCGAAAAGGTATCGCTCTCGATCCTAGCATTTTAAAAAAAGAAAATTTTAAAAATAAACAATTTATCATTTAAAAGGTTTTTAATAATGAAAGTAACAGAACTCACTTCATGACGATAGTCGAGAATTTCGAAAAAGAAGGAAGGTCGGTTGGAAAGTGATATTGATTTTAACTTATGCAAAAAAAAAGATTTTGTACGCCTTTATCACATGATAAATTTCTCTTACAATTTGGCTGCAGATGTATTTCCCTATGACGACCTAAAATAATAATTATGTTCAATTAATTTAGATTTGGCAGCAAATCCATGTTCCGGTCTCGTGGTGTAATGGTTATCACTCAGGACTTTGAATCCTGCGATCCGAGTTCGATTCTCGGCGAGACCTGCTGGCGATTTTATTTTAAATAAATTAGCCTAAACTTGACCAATCATTTTTTGACATCTACTACAATTTTCTATTTAAGGCATTCCGTTGTAACATTTGTTGCAAAAAAAAAACAATTCCTTCTTTGACCAATCATTTTTTGACACCTATTACAATTTTCTATTTTAAAAAGGAAAACGGAGTAGATTCTTATAATATATATTTTATTAAATTAGGTTAAGCTTTATGTAGTTATATATATGCAAAATTGTCTTCCTGACATTTTTACTTAACCCACCCAAGGTTGCCGTTTTTTGTATTTTTGTTTTGCAATCATCAAAATTCTATAATTTGATTGGACATATATCACGTGATTCCACTTCTATCTATTAAATGGTTAATGCCAATGGTTGGTAATACGTATGTGACAGATAAAGTTGTCTGAATCTCGTGATCATAACGTATATGTATAAGAATGAGCAACCATGTTTGTATAAGACTATACATAAGTTATATTAATAAAGACTGAGAGGCAAGACACTGAGAAAAAAAATGGTAAAGTTAGCCTAGGTTTGGTTTAGATTCTAAACTCTTTAGATTCCAAATAAGTTCCAAACCTAAGT